AATAAGATTGTATTAAATTGCCTGACTTGGTGGTGACTTTGGGAGAATCAGATTCTATAATTACTCCAAGGATGAACTTAGAAGAGAACACCTGATTCGCTATGAAACACCAAGTCTTGACTGCGTATGAGACGCTGCTCTATTGATTCGACTGCAATCGTGGGCGGGAACTTCGTCAGTGGGAACAAAAATATCTTGTTCACTCATGTTAAAAACGGCACGAAGCGCGTAGGGTACCTTCACTTGATAGAAGAACAGATAAATATGGTTTCTAACTGACCCATGGGCATTCGTTGATAACATATCTTCCAATTCTCTGTCACGTTCTCCTTTCTGTCAATTACAACCCGAGCTCAGAATTTGTTTTTTTTATAGCCCAGATTATCATATTTATGAGTTATGAACCAAGGGATCTTGCCATTCTTCACACTGAATACTTTCTCTTTTCGGTGTACTGTTTTGCACGTGGTACTTCCTATCTGAAACGCGAGCTGACAGAAAAAAATTGTCCACAATCCTGCTGTTTTAGGTACCCATAAGGTTGTTAAAAGGAGATTCATCTGAGTTAGCTGTTAAAACCAAACTGGTTTGTAAATCAGTGTATCTGGCGAATTGCGCACAGTTTCGTATCAGAGTAGAACATAAGAATGTTGAACGGGAACTTAGAGGATGAATCCTCCTGGTGAGCTCCAAGAAAGGCGAAACAGACCGTTGGCTGTCGAGGAGTGTTCAGAAATCTTATGAGTAGGGTTCCGTGAAAAACGCACTGGAGTCGTTTTGAAATAGGTGGAACTAAAACTAGAAAACGAATAACAGATGTGCCTTCAAGTGCCCATCATCAGCTGCTTCGTCAGGTAACATTACGTTGTTTGAATCCGACTCTTGAACAGACTGCGAACTATTCAGGTATAAGATTAAAAGAATGCAGTACGCCATTAGCATGCACTACTGCTCGGATGGTTGTCATTTTTAGTACTTCACTTCTCACTCAAGCGAAATGGTTTAGTACTTCGGTGATTTCTACGCAACTTGTCCCGCCTTCGACGATGCAGTCTCATCGAGCTGAAGCCTGTGTAAGACTCAGATATCCAGCTCGTTAAGACTGAAGTCGAACATGCTACCTCCATCTATTTTCGGCAGAAATATACTTACCAATTGTGCGCCGTGACTTTGAAGAAAGTACATCCCAATGCAACGCTACATGGTACCGAATGGGGCGGAATCCCTAGGTTACTGGTGAAAGAAAGCGGGATTAATCCGGTTTGCCTCATGTTTTTAACTCAAAAATTATATGCGACACACGGTGCTCAATCGTAAATGACGACCTTGACCACACTTTTATATAATTTAATTGTCATGTGATAAAACTCAGTGGTTAAGGCGCGCGCTTACCAACCGGAAGGTCCGTGGTTCGAACCCGGCATTAGCACCTCGACTGAACTGAGCACTTTTGACTATGCCTGATGGAACTTGAAGATAAATCGGCATCATTTTGCTCCATCGGACTGGTGCGAGATTAAGCAACTGTAGGTCGACTGGAAAACCCAAAAATGCAATATGTCAGACACTTTCCTGTGGACCAGGAAATAAGTGTTGTTTTCCACCCATTTCCCCCGTTGTTTTTCATTTTTCTTAAACTTCCACGATGCTCTGCACACCGTAGAAAACATCACTATTTTGCGTCTTTCATGTATCGACTACCGCTGATCAGTTAGCCAGTAGTATGAAGGGGTCAGTGCGCTGGTCGAATGCTCGAATGGTCGTTATAGCATTCTCTTACCTGAGCTGCCTGCCAGCTTCTAACCATGGGACTTACTGACATGGTTCAAACCAAACAACTCATCTACCTAAGAATCACATGATAGGCGAGTTAAGAACTCACAGCTCGATAACACTGACGTATGAGCCCTCGAGTCGAGTCTATGCGTACCCGTTGTACCGTGATTGATTCTACAATCTATGAGAAACTAACTGACGTGCCTGTGGAAGATCACAGGTTGCCACAACAGCACTAAACTGCTTGATTACTCTACTGTTTTTTTCATTGCAAACATAGCAGGTATCAATCTGTTTTGTACATGAAAGTTTGTTCAAATCCGATCAATACCATTGGAGCTCATAGCGTGTGATCCATGCTTGGGCGATAGCCCATTTTATAACAAGCCTTCTGATTGACTGAAATAAGGTGCATCAAACTGCCCGGGAAATTCCAGTGAAAGTCAGTGCACAAAATTTGATTGTACAACACAAATAAACTGCGTCACGGAGGGTCTATACACACCGTCCGTTAATCATCAGTACTACCACTGAATTCCAGTGGCTAGTCACTGCTGTCCACAAACGAACCAGACATTTGGCATTTTATTGGATTTTAGGTCCACGCTAGTTTCTGCGAGCACTTTTTGGACACTCAACTGCTAACCACCTACAATATCTGATTCTATATTTATCGCTGCATATGTGTGACCTAAGTGGACGCAAAGATTGCGAATCAGCTGCGTCGTCGTGCATGACGAAAGTAGCTTGTAAGGCGCAGCATACTGGAGGGTTTAGAGCTTTTCGGACGGTGCCTATTCATCGGGCCCCTCGGTGGGTGATTCAAGATGTTACGTGACCACGCAACTGCATCTGAAGTGTTTGCCATGGAGGTTGAAAAAATGCTATGGCAAGCGATTACCGACATCAATAAATTGACGTTCTTGACGAAATACACGTTTTGTTACTTATGAGTAGCTCAGAGGGAGAACGAAGTTGACCGGTTGAGTGAAACTTTCATGGGAGATTTCCTCGCTTAAGGGGCCAGTCAACACATATGCCTACGTGATGTGGATCCCGTGATTGAGTGGTCCTATAGCTTGTCTAAGTCCGAGTTAGTCACACAACTGGTCAGCCTCTAATGACCGGTTAAGTGATCTGTAGTTTTGTCAGTTTCTGATCGCTGATGATTCCCATCAAGTATGAAAGACCTACACAGTGCTTGTCAGCTTTCCAACATAGATTGACTTCACTTGCGGGCCATAATCATTAAAATGTCCGATTTCCTCATACTTTTAATTCCGTCAAGAACTTCCATTCTTGTCAGTTAACTACCTTGTACCAACATAACAATCCATAAAAGCGAATCATTTAGATTTTGGAAATATCGCAGTATAACCGCAAATAGAGATAGACGCAAAGTTTGAACCGTGCTGTGGCAGGGAACTACCACGATAAGGTGGTGAACCGTCCTTTTTACGACCTTACGTTTCCAGCACACACCCCTGATACGTCGGCGTTCCGCGTGTTTTTTAAGGCTTCATTAAAGTGGATTTCCCCACATCACCCAAACAGTGAACAAAAGAGTCCGAATTCCGATGAAAATACCCGCTTGTATCGCTTAGTCGTGATAAATTCATGTTGACACTACCTAGCTGTGGATAGACAATCGACGTACTCAAACCCAAGATTCATCAGCTTGGAACTTCAATCCAGAGGAGTATTCATGTACAAACCTAACTAAGATAAGTGTTTAGGAAAAGCAACTAGTGCGAAAGTTCCACGCTGGTAAAGACCTAGTTTGCGAACTCATGAAGAAAAGTCATTCACCTTCCAACGAAGGTAGGCCAAAAGAACTTCCTGGTGAATAGCCGTGCCCCCTATAAGAATGTCATACTATCCGAGTTTATTATAAAGTTTCCTCACGATAGTTGTATCAAGTAAGTTAGCTTGTATCAAATCTTTCAACTGTGGGGGAGATTTTGTAATTTTCAAATGAGGTTTCTTCTTGTCAGAGGAGCCGTTCTATGCTTAAAAGTCGACAAGCACTGCGCAGCTGTTTCATACTGGGAGGTATCATCATTGCGCACCTCATGAAACTGTCTCGAACCCGCGACCTCCCGGTGTAGTTCGTCGCGAGCGACTAATCAACAGTGTGAGTAACTTGGCACTCATCCTTTTAATCGTGGAATCCACATCACGTGGACATCCCATGGGAGCGTCCAAATAAGTTTATTGTTGTAAAGATAAACTTGTCCAAAGCAAAGTAATTCGTTTTAGGAGAGGGTCCGCCTCTACGTGAAACCGATCATTTTTTATTTCCTGCGTAAATGTGGAGCAGGGCTTGTGCAGTTTAGTACGAAATTGAGCCTCTGTTTAAGTCGTTCGAACTATGATAATCTTCAAAGTGTAGATACATTCAGGAGCAACCACAAGTAACCGTAGCAAACTAAAGTCCATTGACTGCTGAACATAGCTCTGAGGCAGGTCAGCGTGTTGGTCCTACTCACGCCTTGATTCCGCCGTAAGCATCCAAAAAAGAATCTACTGTGTGGCGCTGCTGATATGAACACATCAAACAAAAATACGCACACAGCACCAACTGTCTGATTTTATGCGTCTACTCTGGCCCCGACTCCTGTTCTCTAGGGCGCTGCACTTTTCAGGTTCGCCGCGATCATGTTATTCACCCACAACTTTAAAGTTTGCGACCCAGGAAGGTAATTTGTAATGTCAGCACCTCGTGGGCCTGTTTTCCTAAAAAGAAGGATTATTTTGACTACTTCTTTGCACCCAGTGTTGGCCCACTTGGGCACGCTGGAACCCTGAGATGTCGGTCCCAGACTTTCGAAAGTCCTCTGGTGCTAGTTTGTTCCCAGTTAGAGGTCCAAAAATACCATGACAGATCTGAACTAGCCAGAAGACTTTGTCGAATTGAGAAATTCCGGGTTGGCCCTTGGAAACAGTCAACCTAAAATAAAACAGTTGGCTAACCCATTAGGTCTAACTAAGCTCAGATTTTTCTAATTCGAAAAACTGAATGTCGCGATGCCTGCACCGATCTCCTCACATAATTTGTGAACAGAACAATGATGAAATGACAGTCAGCTTTTGTAAAGGCAAGGCAGCTGACCTAATGTATTTCCTGCATTACTTTATTGGGAGGCAGAAACATTCAGACTACTGAGATATTTGTGCTTTATTGATCTTCGCTCTATCAACATCACCCACTCTCTTTCCTTCAGATTACACCCGATACGAACAGAACGGTGAGGCATCTGATACGAGCAGCAAGCAAAACCAGATGCTACCCATCTACTGCTCCATCATGGGGTTTATCATAGTCTTTCTGCTCTTGTACGTGGTCTACAAGTTGTGGAAACAAAGAGAGGCCATGACGAACGCCAAACTCTGTGAAGTCTACACATCAAGTGGCTATAGTACGGTCAAGCTACCGGTGAATTCGACTCAGATGGACTCCGTGTTAAACGGTCCCTGTGGTGGTGACGGTGGCGGCGCCGCCGATCACGTGAAATCGGAACACATCAGTCGACTAACTACTAAGCATCTGTGTGGCACAAATCGGCAACAGGAACGGGATCCGTTGATAGCCAATTTCGAAACAGGCGCCAGTGAATTGAGTAAGCATGTTCCCATAATTTTCATCCACAGTCTTGATGAACCCATACACTGTTATTGGTTATTTGCTTGACTGACTCTCCGTCTGAAATGGCTTAGCAGAGAGTATCAAAACAGTAATGTGTTTAAAATAGCTGGACATGCTTAGCGAAAACCATCCTTGGGACCAAGAACTTCTTCAATGAGAAAATCAACTACCAGATAAATATCGGCGATAAGTGACAGGAGAGTAAGAAGTACTAGTGAAACAGTTTAGGCTATATTCATACTACTTATAAGTACGATGAAAACTTTTCGACAACCCACTGTAGGTTTCGCCCTTCATGGGGCTCATCAGGTAAGCGCAGTACTGGATTTTCTGTCAATACAATATTGCGGTCAACATTCAGTTTTAAAGTAAGTTAGTGTTAACGGGAGACCGAAACAAATCCCAGCTGAACCTCTCATTTCTGATATTCTTCAACAAAATATGCTGCACAAAATCAGGCTTATGACACGATACTCGATATATTGGAGCATATTTTCTTGACATAACATGCTGCTCATAGGGCTATTGAAAACTCCGTTGACAGCCTGTTACCCATTGCTCCCTGTTGGGGCTCACCCAGTGTGTCTAGTCCTCCAATCTCCGTCAACCGCATTCCTTGATTGAACGGATGTTGCGATAAGCAGGCATTTTGCAAATCCGGTGGCAACCCGCTTACTCGAGAGATTCACCGAGCTCGTGAAAATTCCGAAACGTTTGCAACCTTTTGTTCAACAAAAACGTAGCAAAAACCATCAAAGAAATACACTTCATCAGTAGCTGTGGTTGAGATTAACGATCCAGAGTAGAGTGGCAGTTTGCTTTAAGTTTGATGGACAGGCAAGTAGATAATGAGCCATGTAACCAGAATGAATAAGGTGTCGAGTTCAGCCACTGCAATTAATTGCATAACGGAGATCTCTGCAGTCAGCTCGAGGGCACTGAATAAGACAATAATAAGGTTGATTTCTTATTGAGAATATCGTTGTACTAAGTTGGTGGAGTCAATGGGTCGATTCTGCACCGTACCACAAAGTTATTGAGATCCTGGTTTCGCAGATGCTGTCAAAATCCTAGCCCAAATATTCGGTGAGCAAAGTTCCTTGTTCAATATTCGTTATCAGTGTCTCAAGATTACCAAAAGGGATACTGAGGATTCCGTCACCTATGCCGGTGTGGTCAACAGAGAATGCGAGCGCTCTCAGCTCAGCCCCATGACCGAGGATCAATTGCATGCTGTAACACCCTCACCAATTACAAAGAATGCAGTAATTACAATACAAATTAAGTGTGGAAACAATTGTAGGCACGGAGACGGGGACTAACAAGTAAACAATACAGGTGAACACATGGACCACAGTTTTGAACCAGCCAAGTTGGTCTGCGGTTATTTGCATCCAAATCGGATGCCAACTAAAACGGGTCGAACCTGAAGGATAACGCGTTATCATGGGTTGATTTCATGCCACCTGCCTACTACTGGAACGTCACTCATCTGGGACGCAGCTAACGGGTAGCATCGGCTGTTACCCCGCACAGTTAAACATTGTGCTGGATTCCAGCAGCAACGCCTTTATTGCACAATGTATTTCCGGGAATTGAATGCAAATCCAATTATCGTACGAGGTTTTTTTTAATGTTCTAAGCACAGACCATGCCGCCGGAGAATCCCTTTAAACAGTGTTCTGTTTTTACATCTGAATCGTCAACAGTAGTCTAACTTAAGACTAAACAAACAGGCTGGGGATTGAAGGGGACCATACTGTCTGTTATAATAAAGTAAGATAATATATAATGCACATTAAGACAACCGTTCATGCCGTTAAATTTATTACAATATTCGTGAAGAAGTGCTGACTTCGATATGGCCTTCGGTGTTTCGATCAAACAATTGTTCGGTTGACAAGTTCTGCTGACCACTTCTAACCACACAAGCACGAAATCGATAAAAGGAAATCGTATTTTGATTTTGCGACTCACGAACTGGGGCAATCACATCACTTAAGCACAAGATCATTCAGTGTGAACAACAGTAGAGCCGAGGCTTGTTCAATCCTGTAGAAACTCCGACTAGTTAGGATGTTTATTCTCCCGACTGTTAACTCGATAGTCACTCCCGTCTTTTCAGGTTCTTGGTTCCCCGACCACTGAGCTATTCTAATCTTCCCCTTAGGTTATCTGGAGATTCAGTTGGGCACACTCCAACGTGATGTCCTCGGAATGATCTGCTTCCAACTGTCGCGGAGCGGATGGCGCGAAATGGCCACAAATATGGGTAGGTTTCCTTTGGATAAACACAGTTCTCGTCTCTCTATACCGTAGACGTGGTAATGGGATTTGAATAGCACCTGCTCATTTAGGAGAAAACTTCATGTTTTATGTCAGGCTCACCCTATCGTAAAATTTGTTTGATACAGCTGCATCTCTGAAGGCCTGGAATTAAGGGAACAATGCATGTTTTTGTTTGAATATTATGTGTTACGGTCATATCTCTTTACTGAGCTCAAGTATTGAAAGCAGTCAAAGCCCGAATCCGTAACCGAGATCTGGGAGCTGTCGATCGTACTGGAACTTTCTTCCTTTTTGGAGTGCACCCGGCAGACATAGGTGAATCAAACAGCTGATCCTTTAGTTGACAATTTCGGGTAGCTCTTCGGATCATGAGTCTGTTGACCGGTGAATTGAATTTGGACCAATTTGGACCAAGATTCACATCAAAAGCCAATCCACTTGCTGTGCAAACTGGGTGGGGGGCAATGGTATGGATGATAACGGCCTGTATCCATGAACCAAATGGTCACTTGGGAATCCACTTACGTTCACCTGGTGAACCTTGGTAAATACGAAAGCGCTTATATGGCCGAACCTTTCGGTACCCGAGCACTTGTTTCCCTGATGAGAATCCCAAACCATTGACTTCGCGAGGGCTCATGGCCAATCAGGCAGTATAATCTAATGATTCGCGAGAGTCAGATGATTTTATGAAAAAAAATCGGCCCGCTAGAACACGAGTCACGCATGAAACACTACCATATCAGTTAAAGTTGGTTCGCAGTACAAAAGTTCGCCACGTTATATAGCTGACTTCATTCACAGAAACCCAGCTGTTTAGAGAACGATTAGTTTCATATAAAGCCCAGCCACGGTATAAATGTGAGGTTTGTTTCTGTCCCTATTTATTATCTCATTTGTGTTTGGTGGTGATATTTCGTGATACTACTAACTGACACCAACTGGAGTGCAACTGTGCTCTTAAGCTAACCGCTAAATTCCTTATCCCGCCTTCCTAACAGACATCCCTATCACTTCTCTCCTCGGACCGAGTGCAAATGACTCTGAGTTTGCTACGCAGTTGGCGCAGGCGGCTCAGGAAGCAAAACATCTCATCCTAAAAGAGTCTACTACTCAAAATTCCCCTGACGAGGATACAGTAAAGGCCAGCGCTCGGCTGCTAGCCAAATTGTGTCAGCAGCCGACGGCAAACGTCAGAGTACTGCTCACAGAACTCGAACGTATTAATAGAAGTGATATAATCGCATTTATTTCAGACCAACTGACAAAAGTCACACCCTCACCGGCAATTCCAATCTCCTCCTGGTCAGCGTCAAAGGATCCACGTGTATAAGGTCATCCGGGAACAACGTCCCATCTTTCTCCGTACTGTACATACATGCGTCCGTCATTGGTACAAATGGACCATTCTACAATTCACCAGTACTGTGAATATTTTCGGTTTCTTTTCAATGACAGGCCAAAAGGTCTCCATAGAAATTATCTACATGTATAATTTATAAGAAAACTGCGGCGTTATCCCTTGTCTGCATCACACAACGTTTGAACCCTGAAAGGCAAAAGCAACTTACTCTGCGTTCTCAACTCAGCCACTAACAATCCACCTGGATCGCCCATTCAAAACAGACAAGAGCAGTCACCGGTGATTTTTTGCTCAGAGCGACTAAGTGCGAAATCAGTAATAGAGACCCTTGTTCTTGCTGTTTTTTTGGAAGGGTATACATTTCAGGTTCATTACCTGAATCTTTCTTTTGTGCGCTCACTGAACTTTCTCAAGAAGAAAAGATGGGACACCTGTACATTACTTCCATACTGATTTTGAGCAGTTTCTAACTCCTAACTTAGGTCACACAAAAGTTGCTTTGTGCATCCAAAATGAAACATTTTAGCCACTTGTGTCACCCTCTCAGTTATGGTTTCATCCATACATCTTTTTCCGAGTGTTACAATTTTTGAACTACTCACTAGTAGGCAGATGGTGGTGTTAAATAGGTCGCTCAGGCTTCAAGGCAAAGGAGACCTCACATGCACCTGGTGTACGGACATTGGGTGTACAGATAGGTAAAGGGTATAAGGCAATATATCCGAAGATAAGAGAACTGAAGCTGAGGCAAGCAAAGCAAGAAGGTGCTGGTTCAGGTCGGCACACAGCCCAGGGGCCGGGCCAAATTGGGCACTGCCGAATAGTGATTGATTGTGGTTCGCATTGATTAGAGCTGAATTGTTGTGAAGTGAAGGCCGCTGGTACGTCTTGAGACGCAGCTGGTTTAAGGTATTTATCGAAAGCCTTTTTGTAAAGTATCAGAAAGCTTCGTCTTGTGGCAGAAAACCGTCGAACATTTATGTAAAAACGTTAGTTGGATGAGAAGAGATGAGTCGTAGTATGATAGCTGTGCATGGTTGGCGAAGCGAAAAAAAATGACGTCGAGGAGAAGGAGTTACTATAAAATTCACTAAGGCTGACTGAAACGCGGTATATCTCGACGCATGTGGCAACTAAAGTGAGGGAATCGCCTGCTAGGCCATCGCTCCAGGTTACTAATTCCATCCTGTGTTTGCCGCAAGCAACCAGAAGTGAGATGAACACAACCAGTCACATCCTGTGTGTGAAGGCCTAATGTGTACAGATGGATAGAGACAGTTGCTCGGTGAATACTAGCACGAGATGAAGTTTGACGAGAAATTCAGCTACTCACGTATGTGGACTGGATTCGACCGGACCAGACATCATGTGAGACGTCTAACCACCGCAGTTTGTCTGTTCCTTCCCGCGGGCTTCAGAACTCTCGGCTATTAAGGTGTGAAACCACTGAACGCAAAGTCCGCAGTCTGAGGCTAACCCCCCGTTTTTGAGCGCTCTTGTCTCGAATAAGGCAACCCAGTAATATCTCAATCCTCGTGCATCCTAGTTGTACGGCAGCCATGCACTGTAGCGGTGTAGCGGCTCAACGCCTGTCACTTTCTCCTTTTTCATTCCTGCCAGTGCATATCGAACAAGTGAAGGTGAGCCAAACAATGCTTGAATGATTCAATCCTCATACAATGTGTACAGATATAGGTGTTGCTCGGGCACTGTCAACGAGACGGAAGCTACATTACCAGTAGTCAATTACGGAAACTCTACGTCCTACCTTCTTGGCCTATGTATTTCGATGAGCAGTTTTGGAACACACGTAAGGACTTCTTGCTTATAAACTCCATGATATCACAATGAAACCCGACAAGAATATTTCGACATTCAGTAGATATTTCATCCTGTCAGTGAAGTCAATTTATGCGGAAAAGCTGAGAAAATACTGCGCGGCTGTTTCATACTGGGTCGCCAATCTGTTACCTCTGACCTCAAGCTATTTTATTGGAGGGGGTTTGTGTGACCTTGGTCCAACACTGTCTCGAGCTGTCTGGCTTTGATACAAGGCTGTGATGCGCTGCATATTGAGGGGACTTTGTCTCTCTAGTCAGCATCTAGTAGAGCTGAGGGCCTCAGTAGGTTTCGAGTATTCAGTGGTTACTTTCAGGAATCCCACCTTCCTGATGACTCCTTTTGGCCGTTCAACGTAAGATTGTTGACGCGGACCAAGTTGTAAGGGTTCCACCCTTCTTCTATGCGATCGGTACGGCGTCTCGGTTGCAGCAATGGATCTGTCTTGGGCGGTACACATGAAGCAATGACTATAGGTGCTTGTCTTGGGAGATCAAACGTTTCAAGCAGCAGGTTGAGGTTTGGTAAATGTCTTTCCGCTTTTGGGATCGGGCAATTAGTCGGCCATAACTGATTGACATGTCGTTTCCATATCAGTGATCCCACCTGGACATTATAGATCACCTTACCGATTATTTTGAAAACGACTCTAACAGTCCATCTTCGATGCCCGGGGCTATAGTTCCTCACAAGCACACGGTTTCCAGGTCGGAATGTTTACTTCCCTCCTAACAGTGTTGCTGAGCATATATTTTCGATTGACAATGTTGAAAGATTCAAGCGATCCATCCAGTCTATACCTAGGAGATTAAGCTTAAAAGCAGCAAGATAGACAGTACCACAATCACGGTGGCCTGCTTTATTCATCTCACAATCGAATTTACCGAGTAGTTGAAGCTTACCACCTGAAGCATTGTTTGTCTGAGTTTCGGTGACCCGATATCCCCCAGTTGCGGCGGGAAACAATCGCATTATCGGAAGCCGTGTCGAGCTGCCATCGAATCGCGCTTCCTTTTGCTCTGATTGTAACGTACTTACGACGACCATCGATCTGGTTATCTAATTTCGAAAATACTGCGTTGAAACGAGGTTCTGATTCGTTCCGTCTACTTCGTGACCTCCGGGTTTGGCTGCGTCTTTGGATAGCTTTCCGCGTCCGGCACTGGCTTTCCTTGTGCTCACGTCGATTGCTTTTCACACCGACATAACCGCACAAAATGATACTCGCCGCACTACCAGCATGCTAAATGGGGCTTTGCTCAGGTTCTCTTTAGAAATAAGGTCGATTGACGACGAAATCTAACGATCTTTCCTAAATGTAAGTATTACTACATGGAAGATATATTGGAATCCGTCAAAGCAATTAGAATTCCAGGGTTTAAGTTGAACAGGCGGTACTCGAAGGCGAAAAATTTGGTTCCTCTTTTGATGAGCAAAGTTGTCCCCCATAAATTCTGGACCCCCCTTAAGGCACTGTACGCCAACTCCCGCGGACGTGTGAAGGTCTTACTGGAAGCTCTCGGCTGAGTTCACCACATCAAGTAGTGCCAAACAGGTGTCAAAGCAGCCTCTAATGCCTGTGGGGTCGAACTGCCCTTGGGACTTCCGCTTACAGATATCAAGTACGCAAACGACATAGCCCGTTGGGGGCACATCGACTAAACTGTCTGTCGTGAAGAGATACACGATGGTTAGTTTGCTCCATTTTTCTAATCAGCAAGTGCCTGAAAAATAGGTGTTGCCCAATCTATGGGTTTCCTCACATTCATTTATTATAAGAAATAACTTCTAGAAAGAGGGAAGTTTTTGTTGAGGATGAACGGATAGTCCTATTTAGGGACACGTTCAGTCTGTTTCTTGCGTCAGCGTCATGAACATCGTCAGAGATCTCAACATCGTTGTGATGATTCCGATGAGACCCAGTGATATCATGAACGTCCAGTCATACGGTCGTGTTGAAGAAATAGCTGCAGCGAAGGTAGACCAGCCACGCTCCATCCGCAGGAACACAGAAACAAAACGGACTCACCAGACGGTACTTCAGATGATGGAGTAAAGTTGTGGGCCTTATGGGGCTGACCACAATCACCCTCTCTTGCTGCGACTCTTTACAAGAACGCACCAGTTTTAGTTGCCAAATTCTGTCATAAATGTACCCAGTTCTAGTCGCTACTGTTTAAATAATAATTCAACTCGAATCTTTCTGTCACAATAAAGTTGAGATAAAGGTAACACTAAAAAGCAATCACCTAACTTGCTTTATGGAACCAGTTGAACTAGAACAACTGCGTTTACCGAGTACCGTCGGCATCTCCTTTTGTTACATTTTTGTTCGATTAGTTCTCTCTCACACCTGGTTGACAGCGCCGTTTACGTTAGTGTCCTTAGAACTGTTCGTCGATCTCCGAATGATTTTCCACAGACATTCGTCCATTCAAAGTCTTCTCCCTTTTCTTAGCTTTGTCCTTCGCGGTTGAGACAAATCAGTGAACTTACTGACCGGAAGATTAACTGTTCTAACTTATTTCCGTCATATCTACCCCCCCCCCCCGGGTCTAGGCTGGGGCAGCCTGGCAGTAGCTCAGCCCTCGTACTCTTTCGGGTGACATGACAGCCATATACTGAGTGCCCTATTAGCGCGGGTACTCCTAAACTGATTTCTAAGGTATGATGCTTGGGTTACTACCACGCAACTGTCTTCTGCCTGGAGCTGAGTCCTCGCGTCCTCATGTTTTCACACAAGATATAGTTTCACACATGCACTTCAATTTTCACCTCAGGTGTTTTGAATAGTTTTTGTGTTGCGTGAAGCAACTCATCGCTATACTCCTGACCGCCTCTGAGAGAAGGGCTTCGAAATCCACCTGTTTACGGCCTATTCAACAATAGCTATTCAACAATCAGCTTCGTCTTATGTTCGTCCTACAGAGGTGAACGTATCTATGGACGGACGTGGTGGCTCACTTGCCTGCCAACGTGGCCTGCTACGGTGAGGCATTAACAATTGGCTTGTAAGATCAGCTGCAACGAAATCTCATTGTATGAGAGTATTCGCAAGTGCAAGGTAACTATTGTGGGAGGTCTGGCTTTTGGGCTGACTGTTTACGAATGCTGATGCGCCTCAAACATCAGTGGGTACATGTGTCTTAAATTATCGTTAGCATGTGAAAGTGTCTTGAATTCGTCGCACTTATCTTGGTAATTGGTGATTTGGTACACAAGATCGATCGAATACTTGAGAAGAGAATTTTTCGAATCCGTACTTGGTTGAAAAAGCTGAAAGCATTCAGATTGTCCATTGATGACAGTATTGTATGCACAGTGCATCAGTACAGCAATGCACTATGGAGGTTGGTTAGTAAATCGATCACACTCACTGGACCGGTATATGCATGTAGACTTTTTTGGAAGCGCAATCCAACCCATTTTCGACAAAGTCGTATCAAGATATTTCCGGATCAAAACCAAACTTCGGTTCGGTAGGGGGCTGATTACCGGCTCAACTTCTGTCTGACAGTTGACGAACACCTCATGTTCTTGAAGTCGCGCTGTCTTCTCATCATCCATCTGAAGAAAAAATCGGAGAAATTTGACATATGCATGTTACGCTGAACTTTCACAATGATTTCATTCCGTCTGATATATCTGCATCGTTCTATCGCCAACTGGGCTGTCTTCAGGACCGTCCCATAGTTCAGTGCCTCGCTTTTTCAAGCACGATTATGTTTTGGTTTGGTGTT